GACAGGGTCGTCCCAATATGCGTTTTTGCAATTTGCATATAGGCAAAAACGCATAAAAACGGATGAATAGCTTCCAGCAACATAAAATTTAGCCCTAAAAGGTCGAAATATGTTAAAGCAAAAATAGTGCGTTAGCCACTTCCAAATACTTGAGATGTCAAAATCAAGTGCAAATCTTTTGTTAGAAACACCGTGGATACTTTGATAAGCTGTAGTAGTTCACAGATTGGTTATCCAACTATACAACTGACAACTTTTCCAATTGCTATGATCAGTATTACGTCGCCTGATGACCAGTCTCTGTTGATGACCTTCACGTTCGAATAGCACAGATGAGAGCAGAAAAATGATACCGATCTGATGAATTTAGGCAGGAAAGTACATACTGTATTCAAAGTTTACAAAAATGTTTAGTTTTATGAAAGCACAAGGAATCCCTTACTCATTTTCTTGACCAGAGAGGATTAATTAGAATCAAACGCTCACTTGGGATCAAGTGAAAACCCATTCCAAGCCAAAAACCTTGGCATAAAGCTTTCTATTTACAAGACATTTGTTGCTGGAGAATGCAACAAATTTTTAGGTCGAAAAAACAGGGCTTTCTCAAATGTGAGTGCAAAATTTCAGCCAGGAGCAGACCGAATGGGGCAGCGTGAATCATTCTCGGAAATCGATGTCCGAAAAATCAACAAGTTGTATAGCTGTCCATTGAAGCCGGACCAAAAAACCGTGCCAACGAAAAAACCGGAACGCAAGAACATCGATGATGACTCCGACGATGAAGAATTTTCGACTCTGAAGCCAACCGCAATACCATTTAAAGTTAGATTTTTCCAGAAACAGCCATTTGATGAAATCGATTCGATGTGGCAAAATTTCATTAATCGACATCAAAATTTGATCACAAGACCAAGATTTTTCAACAAACCAAGAACGCCAATACCGTCCGAACAGCGGTTCTCGGCGTCCCATGCTAGTGATGTTACGGGGAAGATGATCTCACATGCTGGATCCAGCTATGCTAGGCCCTTCAGTCCTGAGCCTTTCGGGGGGCGATGGATTAAAATAAGGCACATAATGAACCAAAGATGACTTACGTATACCAGAGGACTCTAGATTCCTTGCCCGAGCGATCTTGGGGTCATTTAAGTGGTGTCTACGAAAACCGCTGATATGAAGTAGGATACTGTCGTGCACCCAAGTCAATGCTTAGTTTTGGACACTGTGGACATCCAAATAAGTCGGTACCCAGAATGAGGTGGAAGTAGGATTTTCCCCGATAATGTTTACTGCTCATATGCGAGCCATTAAGCGCAAGATGAGCTCCTGTATAGGCACAGGCTCTGCATACAAGCGCACAAAATGACTAAATTGCGACACCGCTGTTACGCCCTGGCAGTACAGGCGATCTCTCCACGGAATATAATCATACAGAAACGCAAGAACGCACCGGCTAGCTTGAAGTGTTGCAGCATGAACTGCTTTACATCTAGCTTGTGTACTTAACTAGTGTAAATCATCGCAAATTTTGCATAGTGGAAGATGAACAATTCCCGCTGAACGGTCATTCATTGAAAGTGACCTAGCTGTTCAGAGAGCAGTTTTCCCGCCAAAACTTTTACCTACCCGTATGTAAGACCACCCATATCTGGAGGCTAAATTTGAAACCTACATATAGCATGTGGATAAGGAACGCCTCCTTAAAATTTCAGCTTTTCAGCTTTTCTGAGTTATCAATTTTCCGGCTGAAACTTTCACGTACTCGCAAGATTAGTACAGCACTCCGGGACTAACGCTTGGTCAGGGAACCCACCAGCAAAATTTCAGCTTCAAGGTCTGCATGGATGCCGAGTTGAAATACTGAGACAAGCACGTCCACAAATACACACATACCATAGTTCATCACAATATGCGTTTTTGCATTTGCACACTTGCAAAAGACCATAAAAACTGAGATTTTTTCTTTAACAAAAATTTCCCACTTTTTGGTCGTAGCTGTTTTTAGTTACGTGACACGTACAGTGTTGTTTTTGTTCTCTTCTGCTCGTTGTGTTGTGTCGTTGTTCTTTAAAACTTGTCTTAGGTTACGGAATTTTATTTCCAACTTTTCACATTGTAATACTTAGACTGATAGACAAATCTACTAGATTAAAACCTGAGAGTTCAGTTCTTACAGATTTTACATTTTAAGGCCTGTAGTTTAGACTGGTAATCTGAAAAGATCGCTGGAAATATCAGTAGGATCCGATACTAGTGAAATTAGTGGGATTTTCCTTCACGCCAAACGCAACTCTGTCAAAACCTTCAGATCCAAACTCTTTGCCTCCGACTCATACCTCTTTCTTCTGCCTCCCCTCCTTAATCATTTTATACCTCACTGACTAGGAATGATTTTTATAAATAATAGTTCTTAAATGAAAATAGATATTATTAACGAAGTCTTTGCCGATTAGAAGGTTAGTCCTTCATAGTTATGAGAGTTATACATATATATATATATATATATATAATATATATATATAATGTACATATATTTCATCGTATATATATATATATACGATGAAATATATGTAAATATATACATATGCATATATATACGATGAAATAGAGCTACCATACCCGTAA